TCCAAGCCCACTGGTCCCCACGGCGGCCGCCACGTCGTGACGATCCGGCCCAGCCGCAATGAGACGGACGACGTCTCGGCGGCCTTCAGATCCGCCCTCGAGCGCGCCAACCACGGCGGCACGCTCTACCTGCCCGCGAACCAGACCTTCGTGATCGGCCAGCCCCTGGACCTGACCTTCCTGGACGACGTGCAGGTCCGCCTGGACGGGGAGGTCAGGTTCACCGACGACACGGAGTACTGGCAGGGGGTGGCGTACGTGCACCCGTTCCAGAACACCATCATGTTCTGGAAGTGGGGCGGTAACAAGGTCAAGATCTATGGGAATGGGGTCCTGAACGGTAACGGGCAGAGGTGGTGGAACGAGTTCTCTGGGCGGCAGATCTTGGACACGGATAATGAGTATCTGAGACCTGTGTTGTTTTATGCGCAGAACGCGACGGATCTGAGTATCGAGGGGATTACCATGAAGGATTCGCCTTGTTGGACGAATTTTGTCGTGACGTGTGAGTGATATCTTCTCGTTCCCCCTTACCCATAAACTCAAACAGCCTTGGTGGTATTAAGAGGCATATGAGTACGCCTCGACAGGGAAAATTTATCGGATAGTCACTTCTGATAAAGCGGTCTGGGATTATATTTTCAAGTCACAGCCTTCGAACCACGAAAAGAGGTGACGGAGACTGGATGTTGTAAATGTGCAAACAAAAACGGGTTTATACCGGGCTGAAATGAGTGGCTAATAAGATTGAACAGCCTCAGGAGTCTCATATAAAGACATTGTCATATCAGCCACTTCGAACAACGCCAGCGTGCTACCCGCCAATACCGATTTCTTCGACTCGCTCAATGTCGAACATCTCACTGTTGAGAGGACATGGGTGAACATTGGCGACGACTGCTTCAGTCCCAAGTCGAATGCGACAGATGTCTATGTAAATACTATGTACTGCAACGGTAAGCGTCTCAGGCTGACGATCCTCTTCTATCCCTTTCCTCGATCCAAAGATGTGCGGTCGACTGACGCGGCAACACAGGCACACATGGCCAGTCCATGGGTTCGATCGGGCAGTACGCTGGCGAGAAGTCCATCATCCAGGACGTCCTCATCGAGAACATCTGGCTGCTGAACGGACAGCACGGCGCGCGTCTCAAATCATGGGCGGGTCCGGACGTCGGGTATGGCTACATGGATAACATCACCTTCAGGAACTTCTGGCAGGCGAATAACGAGTACGCGGCGTATCTCGACTCTTGCTATTTCAATGTGCGCCTTGACCACCCCCCCCCTCTTTCCCAAGAGCACCCCATCCAAAGAGAAAACAAGAAGAAAAGAAGAAAAGAAGTAGGAAAAAAAAAGGGAAAAGTTGAGAAAAAAGAAAGAAAGTCCCCAGCCTGCTAACAAAAATGCTAGATCAACGCAAGCGAGTGCGCGGCCTACCCCTCCCAAGTCAACGTGAGCAACGTGCTCTTCGAGAACTTCTCCGGCTATACGTCCGGCAAGTACGGCCGCGTGGTGGCCTCCCTGACGTGCAGCTCCAACCCGGACGCGGTGTGCGAGAACATCACGTTCAGGAACTTCACCGTGACGAGCCCCTGCGGGAACGGGACGGCAGACAACGCCGTCATCGTCTGCGACTACATCAGTGGGGACGTCGGGGTGGACTGCGTCAGCTCCAACAGCACAGAGGCCGTCGCCGCGCTGGCGGATACCTGCAGCGTGCCGCTGGCGACCCTTCCGGAGCCTACGCCGTGGCTAAAGAGATGAAGCGTCGAGGTTGAGGGTGGCAGGGATGATGATTGACGTTGAGTGGGAAGCCCTTGTTGTCTTCCTTTTCTTCATGTTCTCTTTTCTCTCTTGTCCCAATCTTCTCTCCACTCGTCTTCCTCTCCTTTCCTCTCCGTGTGATATTTGCCTTCGTATGGGTGGAGAGGAGGCGGAAAGTGGGAATGTATCTGTTGGCAGACACAAGAAGAAGAGGGCCTTGAGCCTTTTCCCGCGCAATGTCTGCTGCAATATCTATCCCAAAACAAGGCAGCATCAGTGGATACCAACATGATTTCTAGGAATCCCAAACACGGGGAAAGTGGAACCCTGGTCTTCATTTATATTAAAGCCTCAACTGTAGGATCCGGAAGGATTCCTTAGCTCACCAACATACCTACATATTATGGAGCAGTAGCCACTACAGTACGGGGTGGGTGCCTCGACAGCAAAAGGGATCAAAATAGAGGGACCTGGGGCATACAGGTACAAGTCACTTGGAAGACAGGTGCGTGAGGCAAAGGATACTCATCTCACCCATCAAAGGCTACGATCATGCTTGCTTCAAGATATTGTGGCGAGCTTGTGTCAACCGTGGTACAACGTGTGCTTCATTAACAGTATCTAATCGTGACTATGTAGGTCGCCCCAAACGTTCCAGCGACCCATCACATCCATCGATGACATGTAACCGTAGTGATAGTACAGCCATTATCGTTACAGAGTTTTCGTGCAAGTGCGGCGCACCTTACAGGGCAGCAGCGACGCCCAACACGCCAGCCAGGACGGCACCCACGATACCGACCTCCCGGGCCGAAGCACCAGAGCTGGACGTGGAAGAGGATGAGGCAGCGGAGCTACCCGAAGCAGCAGTAGCCGAGGAGCCAGAGGTGGCAGCGCCAGCGACAGTGGAGCACACGCTGAGGCTTTCCGTGTAGGCCGCGTACTGGGGGCACTCGGACAGGATGGAGTAGATGGCAGAGCTGCCGCTCTTGGTGTACCAGCTCTCGAGGGCGGTGAGGTAGCTGGAATAGTCCTTGCTGAGGGAGGCGGGGATGGTGATGGCGCAGGCGTCGGTCTGGGTCTGGGTGAGAGCGTATGACTCAAACGCCGGGGCGGCGGTGGGCAGGCTGGAGGCGACCGAGAGGACCTCACTCTCGCAGACGGCGTCCGAGAGGCCGGACGAGGCGGTGCCGGTCGCGCGGGCGACGTTGTGGTTCTCGTACTTGATGGCGATGTGGCCCGGGACGACGAGGTTGGCCGAGGCGGCAGCTGCGAGGGCCGCGATGACGAGCTGAGAGTACATTTTGCAAAGAAACTTGATCCCGTGTGGTGAGTGTGTAGGGGAGATAGGATGAGTTGCGTGGTATAGAGTTTTGAAGATTATTAGAGTACTAAGCTTCTTGTCTGTGGAGGTCGGAGTGAGTGAGAAGCGAAAGACTCAAAGAGAAGCGAGGAGGGAAGGAGGAACATTTAAGCTTCTGGTCTGTGACAACAGTCTCATGGCAGCCATATCCACTCGGCCTGAACAGACTATCTTGTTGCTTCGTTCTTGACGTGACAGCAACAAGATCGCCAGGTCGAGATCATGGCTGGTAAGCACTAAGGAGGCTCAGACCAGCTGTTGGCGCAGACGTCCGTGTTCAATTTCACCAACATTCCAATTGAGCAGCGTGCCTCTGCACGATTGGGTGAAGAAATTGAAAAAGAAAGGGGCGAGGACTGTTTTTGGGTTCGGCCCCAAAGGACCACGATCCCGGTCCGCTGCACATGCTCCAGACGGCCACAGAGTGTACAGCTGGGGACCCTGATCCAGGACACTGGCCCAGAAACTGGCCCAGAAACTGGCCCAGGGCCCTGTACCAACGTCTTCCTGCCTTCAGCTTGGCCCCCAGCGAGTATCACTGAGATCTATATCTGGGATGAGACAATCCTGCGATTGGAAGCATTGCCAGCTGCTGTGGCCGCCGCCTACCGCGGCACAGCAGTGTGAGGATCAGGACGCTGGCCAAGACTCCCGGGGCCGGGTCATAAACGTATGAGCACTGGCCCCAAGGGGACCTTGTTCGCTGGAGCCTGGAATGATCACCATACCAGGGTGCCAATCTGAGTTAAAGTTAGCCTTTTGCATGCTAAATGCTACCCTAATTTCGGTTGCTAATCGCCACCAGGCCGGTTTCGGGCATAGTCCGGGGACCTCGGCATGGGACCTGTGAGGACGGACGGACATGAACCGGCCGGGCTGTTGGTTAAGCCACCGAATAACTAACCGTACTGTGTGAACGCAAAGAGAGGAAGACGGCCGAATGTCTGGTCCACCAGCGAGTGCAAGGCGCAGCATACAGACAGTATCGAAAGGAACGAGAGTGTCGACAGCTATATCGACTGCACTAAGTATTCTGATTTCGCGGCGCTGTATAGCTACACGGCTGTATGTAAGGCCCGGAAAACCTTTGCCGGTCGAACATAACATACCTAGGTATCAAGACGTTGCAGTTGCCCAGTTTGGTTGATGGGCTGTTTTGGCGGATAGATCAACCGGGTTGGTGGAACGTCGCAACCGGATTGGGCCTTGAGCTTTCCAGACTGTCGGTAAAGAGGTTGACTAAGCGCACATCCCGAGATCCGAGAATACGTAGGTACGTATCTACGCAGTACCTAGATAGATATCAATGATCCGGGAGCCTCACTGATTTATGCGTATATTCCTGATGGAATATCACTGCGCATCAGAGTACTTGGGCGTTTAGATAGCCCCAGAGAACTTATCTTTCAGCTGGCTGGAGATGATTCACTAATCGGTATAGAAAGGAGGAGACTGCACGGAAGCGCCGTCTTGCAAGTCCGATACGACCTGGATCAAGCTGTTGCTACAATACAGGTATTGTGACGGCAATCACTTAGTTCACAGCACAAGGGCTTGACTGCCAGTGTAATTATTGTACACTCACGAAGAGGTTTGCCTTATCGAAAGAAAAGAGAGGACAGAGGAAGCTACGGTTACGTTGAAAGGTAAGGTAGGTAAAGTGGGATGGCGATAAGAAAAGCTTATCAGAGAGAGCCTACCCTAACCCTAGATGCGCTCCCGCCTACCATTAGCCGTAGCGCCTTCACCGATATATCGACAAACATGTTACCTTCACCACACATTCACCGCATATTAGCAGTGCTAGATTATTATTTTGAGTCAGCCAAACTCTTATGAGTATCATCAGAATCCTATTTTCACAACAAACGGACTTGTGGTGTAGTGGTTATCACGTATCGTTCACAGTAATGTGAACAAATTCCCGATAAGGTCCCCGGTTCGAGCCCGGGCAAGTTCATTTTTGTTTGTCCTTTATGATCAGGATATCTTGTTCAGATCTGGAGGTGTTCGGGTTGCGTTCCTTTTGTTGCTGGGCGGGAGGGCCGCACCGGGGCCCGAGCCCGGGCCCCGGTCCCGGTAACAAGGGGCCGCAACGGCTAGGCCTTTCCACTTAGGTCCACTTTGTGAAGGCGGTACAGCAAACGGCAAGCGGGAGCTACCCAGGGTTAGGGTTAGCTCCTTCTGATAAGCTTTCCTCATCGATGTTCGTCTTTACTAACCTCACGTTTTCAGCCTTACTGTAGCTTTCCTCTACCCTTTTCTTTCGATTAGGCAAACCTCTTCGTAAATTCACAATAATCATACTGAATTCCAGCCACTGCGCCGTGAACTAGGTGATTCCCATCACACACTTGACTCATTTTCGAGACATTATACTCTGCTTTAGCTTATTGACTACTCTGAAATGAGCTCTAATGCTTAGAGCCCCTCAAATATATCTTCCTGCCTTTTCAGCCGGTAGCTACATGTTGACTTGTCCAACCCCTGAAGACCATACATACTACAACAATGGAACGAACTCAGTCTCATGAAGGTTATGCATTCTCCCAGAAGGGCTTCATCAGCAGTACGTACTTCTATACGTGGGTATGTTAGACGCGGAAGAGCACCCCTGTAGGGCAATCCCAGCCCAAAACTTTTGCCTTCTCACTCTGTGATCACTCGCAAATGTCGATAATGCCCTCCGAAGTACTAGGACTGCACGCATGCTCAGTCCTCTGCCCCATTTTTGCGCCCCCCCCGAATGATTAAACCTCATAGGGCAGTCCTTATCGTATTTTGTCACCAGATTCGAGAATTGAAACCCTGCATCGCATAATTGGTTGCTATTCTTACCTCCTGGAGGGCAGAGCCTGGTCCAGACATGTGAGAACCTGTATGGAGGATTAGCCAGAGCCGTACATTGCCGAATTGCAGTGGGGTATATACTTACACTGCTGCTGACCGCTCCCTGGTTACCCAGATATCTCGCCATCCCGCGGACGAGCTCAACCTGCTCATCCACCGTCAAGCCCGTGATGGCTGTCTCCAAGATGTCGCCAAGTCCAACCTTGTGAATGGCAATGAAGGAGTGGTAGTACATGAATGTGAAAAAGCCCATGATGAACTGGCAATCCATACGGTCCGTCATGCCTCCATGGCCGGGGATCGAATGACCGAAATCCTTGATCTTGAAAGTACGCTTGAGACCCGAGGCGAAGAATCCACCGAAGGGAGCAATCAACGAGGCAAACGTCGCGAAAATCATGGTGTGAATCTGCATGGGCTCCGTGGTCACACTGAAGTGCAGGTTGTCGGGCACAAAGACGAAGTCCAGCGGCTTGTAAGTGTACGGAACGAATACCGGGTTAGGTTGGCAGTGCAGCCCTCTGAATACATTGGCACCAAAGTCCTAAATGTCGTTAGTCTTATGTGTCGCAATAGGTGGCACCTTCGAGATGCGGTAACGTACCGTGGCGGGGCAGATGAAATACCCGCTGCGCATCATCAGGTTCGTAAGACCATAGCCAAAGATGATGGTGAATATCCAGGCGCCAACGAAACCCTCGACAGTCTTCTTGGGTGACAGCTTGATGAGCTGGGTGCGGCCAAAGGTGATACCGCAGATGTATGCGAAGATGTCGTTGGTGATGACCAGAGCAGCGGGGAGGAAAAACCAGATCAACCCCTCGAACACGTTGTTCATGATGAAATGCGCCTCGACCACAATGATCAGGAGAGCCATGTGCGTCCATGCAAAATTGGTGAACTGGAACTTCAGGTGACCAGCCTTCAGGGAACCAACGAAGAAGACAAATCCTACCATGCCAGACGTTAGCATCTTTCACACCCCATTGAGCACTCTCCAGGCAGCCTGCCCTTTCAGTTGGAGGACCAGGATTCTGTCAGACGTACCAATAATGTAGAGTATGAAGCTAATGAAGCGGTGGTGCGTAGCCAGGGGAAGGAGGACCTTGTCGACGAGAACTACATGCTTGAAGTAGTAGATGACACTCTCGCCGTAAAGGAAATACATAGTGGTCGCGAGCCAGTACCAGTTCAAACTCTTCGTGGAGCGGAGTTGGCGAGCTCTCGAGGGCACGCTTGCGATGGCGATGACCTCCTTGAAGGAGATGATCTGAATAACGGTGATGATGAGGATGACATAGATATGGCCCATGAAGAGGGCGGCGAAGAAGCCGCCGATCATGAGCAAGGTCCATATTGTTCGCGTTATGAAGTTCTGCTTCTTCTTTTCGTAGTCGCTCTGTTGAGGCTGGGCTGAATCTTTCTGCTTGAGGAAGGGCGTCAGCATCTAATATGCAAGGTCGCGACGGTAGCCAAGGGGGGAGATATGGCCTCCCCAACCGGACAGATTTGTGTCTTACCTCAGCGATTTGGTTCAGATGTTGCTGCGACGAGGACCTCGCCTTGGTTGGTGAGCCGTCCTGGCTGGGGTCGCTGTGCTCGCTGAAGCTGGCGCGACGTGCATCGGTGCTGCCATTGCCCTTTCTGTGGGAGAATTTAACACCCCTGCGTCCGTTTCCCATTGTGGGCAAGTGTATGCGCTGCTCCAAGTCCTTCGTTTCGTGGAGTCGTCTCGTCGCGAGCTTGGGATCAAGCTCGGTAATTTGGTGCGCGAAGGCGTCGGTTGGAGAGGTAGAAGAGGGGATTGCGACGGCGCTCAAAGTATCGTTTATTATTTGCGCCAACCACAAAGAGCGTGCTCAACTCGGTGTTTTCTGGGTTTTGACGATGACGATGCTTGTATCGCGCTGCAGCATCCGGGGGGCGAGTGTGGGGGGAGAGATCAAGACCGTGATCAGGAGGAATGCGATGCAGTTGGGTTTGTTTTCTGGTCTCGATCGAACCTTGGTAAGATTGTGGAGACCGCAGCGGGCCTTTTTACACCCAGTTTGCGGCCGGCTGGACATAACGTCGGATTCTGCTGCAAAAATGCTCCGTCAGCTACGTCAGTGCTACAATGCTACAGTGCTACAGTGAATGCTACAGTGAGTGCTACAGTGTCTTCGTGGCTTGACACTACCCGTGGACCGCCTGGGCAGTCGATTCCCATTTCACATTGCTTGGACTCCTTGGCAGTCTTCCTACGTAGGTACGTGGATGGACATTGGCATCGTACCTTTTAGAGTTCTGAAAGTATACCGGCGATTCTGATTGACGAGTGTTATGTAGGTAAATCTGGCCCCGGGGATCTGGGACGGATGGAGCACTGATGCTTTTTAAGTACCCAGGTCCCTACCTAGGTACCAATGATCCAATGCGTCATGCTACAGATTGATCCGGGGTGGCCTATTTCAGTACAGTATATAGACCCATATCTGGCATTTCCACGTTTGTAGCTTACCTAGGTAGGTGCTGCTGCTCCATGATTTCGCTGGTTTACACTACATGTCCAGACTCCTGCATAAGGATGATCTAATTGACTACGCATCCGGTGCCTTGATTTGTCCGAGTTCCGCCATCTTCCTGCCCGAGAGTCCGGCGGAGGACTGAGGGTCGTGTTACCAATGCGTATTTGCGGGGGGGATCGGCCAGATGTTCAACAATGATTTCCAATGATTCCTTGCATCAGCCTTCAGGCCTTTTTTTTCTCCTTCCAGGGGCACCCACCGATTTGATGCAGGGTCATGAGGTCAGGGTCCAGTGCACTGGCTGTAGGCTCCATGCTCCATGCGCAAGGCTCTCTCGCATGTGATGTGTGGCTTTCTTTATCGTCACGATAAGGGAATTGTGGCTGTGCCCCCCGATGCGATTTCCCGTTGAAGCTTTGGGTATCTAGGTAGTATGCAGTAGCTATCTCCGTTCTCAATCATACATTGTTCACCTGAACATCGACTACCCCGCCGTACTGCAGCTCAACCGTCTCCCTGGACTCGTAATCTCTTTACTTCCAGTTGCGCAGCGTCTGGTATCGTTCCGACTCTCTCCCAACGCGTCCCAATTGATACCCGAGTCGTCAACCGAGCGAGTTACAAACTCCCGGGGGGGTTCGTATCCCGTGTGGCCGCACCTTGACAGCGTACTCATGGCGCCCACCGGCCCCAGATCGTCGACGGTACAAAGGAGGCCAAGCCCTGCCCCAGTTGTCGAGGGTCCTCCGCCTCCTCTTGGGCCTAATCCGGGCAACATTTCCATCTCCAACCAGTATAAATTCGAGCAGAACATACGGCGGCTGCAGAAGGAGTACGGATGCGATCCAGCCAGAGAAGACAGCTATAGGATACAAGGTGTTCAGCTGATCGAATCTGTCCGTCAGGCTCTGCGTCTGTGAGTTCCAGCTTCAGCTTGCGACCATCCCAGCTGTGGGCGATGACATCTAATTAGGAGGCAGGCCCGTCAAGACCTTCACCACGGCATGTACATACTATCACCTCTTCCGACTTTGTCATCGCGATGCCGAGTACAACTATCAAGATGCATCCCTCGCTTCGTTATTCATGGCGTGCAAGGTGGAGGATACCATCAAGAAGTCCAGGGAGATTCTGTGCGCGGCGTACAACATAAAAAACCCGACGCAACCTACTACCCAGGACGACAAGGTCTGCTATACCAAAATCTAGATGACAGCCTTGTTGAGATTGCTGACAGCGCCTGCAGATGTTTGATAACCCGCATAAGATCATCATAGGGCTGGAACGCCACATCCTCGAAACCATAGGCTTCGACTTCCGAGTGCGTTATCCGCAAAAGGTGTTGGTCAAGATGGTTCGCCATCTATATGACGCAGACGAGGCACGTGACGTCGTCACTATGGCCTACGGCATATCGGTTGACATGTATAAGACCTTCGCTCCAATCAAGGCATCCACTTTTACCATGGTCTTGGCCTGTATCGAACTGACAGCACTGCTCAATGACCGTGATGTTGAGCGGATACGGTCACTGGATCTGGGGAAGTACCACACGAGTCGGACAAGTATCCTTGAGGTCATACTAGATCTTCTGGACATGTAC